GCTGCACCTGTAATATATATTATGGTTTTAGCACGTATCGAGAAATCACTTTCACAGAATACCAGCGTAAAATAGCAACTAAATGCAGCTATGTTTGAGTATGGTGAGTGTAGAGAACCGGAGACCCTTTTTACTGGAAGCGAGGCATTCCATCGTTGTCCTCTGGGATGATAATGCTTATATGTAGATGTCTATGGATCACAGCATCCACTTACGATCAGGTGTACTGTGGGCTCGTTTGTTACTCTTTTAAAATAAAAAAGGTATAACAAGTTGCGTAGTTGCAACCATGTTGGGATCTATAAATTTCTAAAGATTCTATTGTAGGTTGAACAATACTCAACCTGGCAATATTAGCACCTATTGAGACGTCACTCACACCGCATTCAAACTGTTAGTAGATAATTAAAAAATACTGATTGTCTTTGTTGTCTTTGTTTTTAACCGACTTCAAAAAAAGGAGGAGGTAATCAATTCGACTGTATTATTTGTTTAACCTCAGAACTTTTTTCTAAGTGAACCGATTTTGATGATTCTTTTTTTATTTGAAAGCTGGTGTTTCTCATGTGGTCTCGATATAATATAAATTTGATCAAGATCTGACCAGTACATTGTGAGTTATCCTTAATAATTCCTATTTAACTGACTTTGACTACATTGATGATGTTCTCATTTTATTTATATTGAAATGGGTTGTACAATTTTTTTTATTTTACCACTTGTAGAAATATAATTCGTCCAAGTAGCCATCTTGTTAAATTTGTCCGTTATAACACAGAATAAATAATAGTTAAAAGAATTATAAGTTGTTAAACTTGTACGTTACTTTGGTTTCCAATAGCTTAATAACTTTCTACCTAATTTCTTTAATAAAAATAATAAATTTCGAAGACATGTGAAGTGAAGTCCGCCAGCACGCATTGGTGTAGCGCAGCGGACATATTATGCTTAACCCTTTCTGAAGTGAGAGGAACCCTGTGCCCAGCAGTGACACCGTACATAGGCTGTAACTTTACTTTACTCTGGTTATTGTTCATCATTATCATCATTTTTACAACCCTTCACAAGTCCACTGATGAACATAGACCTCCCCCAAGGAATGCCACAAAGCACGGTCCTGAGCCACCTGCATCCATCGACTTCCTGCATGTCTTACCAGGTCTTAACTCTGTCTAGTGGGGGGACGCCCTACACTTCGTCCGCCGCTACGAGGCCGCCACTCGAGAACCTTTTTTTCCCCATCGGTTGTCGTTTCTTCGAGCTATATGGCCGGCCCATTTCCACTTCAGCTTACTTATCCGTTGGATCGGTCACTCTAGTTCTACTGCGGATATCCTCATTTCTAAGTTTATCTCGCAGAGAAATTCCGAGCATAGCCATCTCCTTAGCTCGCTGAGCGACCTTGAGCTTCCTCATCCGGCCAGCAGTGAAGGACCACGTCTCAGTTCCATAGGTCATCACTGGCAACAAGCACTGGTCGTACAGTCTCGTTTTCAAGTTTTGAGGTATACCTGACGAGAAGATGTGCCGTAACTTCCCGAACGCTGCCCAACCGAGTTGAATCCGTCGATTGACCTCTCGGTCGAAGTTGGACATACCTAGTCGGACTCTTTGTCCCAGGTAAACATACTCGTCAACAACTTCGAGCTTAGTGCTCCCAACAACTACCGGCATAGGTGTGACATGGACATTAAACATGATCTTTGTTTTGTCCATGTTCATCTTAAGACCTATCCTTTTGGAAACACTATTGAGGTCATTGAGCATAGTAATTAGGTCCTCCAGCAATTCTGCCAAAAGGACTATATCGTCGGTAAACCGAAGGTCGAATCGAAGGGACCGGTGCAGCGGTGCAGCGGTGAAGAGTTTCGGGGATATAACGTCACCCTGTATTACACCTCTCTGCAATTGGATAGGTTTCGTACTCTGCTCCTGTACTCGGATAGCCATCGTAGCCCTACTGTACAAGCACTTCAGCACTTCGATATACCGACAGTCAACTTGGCACCACAGAAGGGACTGAAGCACCGCCCAAATTTCGGGGGAATCAAAGACTTTCTCATAGTCCACATATGCCAGACATAGTGGCAAATTGTACTCCTCGGACTTCTGTACAATTTGCCGAAGGGTATGAATGTGGTCTATGGTGCTAAAGCCTTTTCGGAAACCTGCTTGTTCGGGAGGCTTGAAGTCGTTAACTCTGCGCGCGAGACGATTCGTAATGACTCTCGAAAACAGCACGTAGACGCGGCTCAGAAGGGAAATCGGTCTGTAGTTCTTCAAGAGAGCGTTGTCCCCTTTCTTGAAGAACAAGACCACCGCACTTCTGCTCCACGCCTCCGGTGTAATGCCACCATGAAGAACGGAATTAAAAAGCTTCTGAAGAATTTTAAGTACCGGTTTTCCACCCGCTTTCAGAAGCTCCGCTGTAATTCCATCCTCGCCTGGGGCCTTGCCGTTATTAAGGTGCTGGAGAGCCATTCTAATCTCGCTCAGACTGACGTCCGGGATATCATCGGAATAATGTCGGATAAGACTCGCTCTTGGATCGTTACTCACACTTGCGTGTGACTCCAACGATGATGTGTACAGCTGCCCATAGACACCTCTCAATTTCACTCAAAATCTCAAGCGTCCCGGAAATGACGCTGTCATACTCGGTCTTCAGCTTCGACAGTTGGTCTTTCTGGCAGACAGATCTCTAGCAAAGACTTTGAAGCCCTGGTTCCGCTCGATCGCTTCTTCAATACGAGCAGTATTAAAGTTGCGTAACTCCCGCCGCATGCATTTGGAGATCCGTCTGTTCAGTTGCCTGTATGCTGTCAAATCTACTGAAGACTACAGCTTCATATCCCATCGAACAGCCATGAGATTAAGAGTGTGATCGGAGAATTTTTGTGTGCTTCTGCGGCGGGTCTTGCAAAACTTAACTCCGACCTCATGGATAGTTTCCACGAGCTTTTCATTCATATCGTCCACTGCATTGCAGTCTTCTAGGCACTGAAAACGGTTTCGTAGCTCGAGCTGAAAGGTTTCGGGACTTTGGATGGGGACGAGGGGGACGGAGCGTTGACTTCATTAGACGTGACCTCTCCAACTTAACGTTTAGGTTCAGTGTGCCTCTCACCATTTGGTGATCGCTGCCGGTTTTCACCCTCGCAATCACTGAGACATCACTGAACAGTTGTTGTCTGGTCGTCATAATGAAGTCAATCTCATTTTTTGTCGAACCGTCGGGGTTCGACCAGGTCCACTTCCTGTAGGGCCGCTTCTGGAAGAAAGAGTTCATCATAAAGAGTCCCTCTTTCACCATGAAGCCAGCTGCTGGCCTCTTGGATCCGTTGCCCTATTCCGAATTTCCCTACTTTCAGCTCGGGGAGCTGAAAGTAGGGAAATTCGGAAGAATTGAAGTCGGCCAGATGCTGGCGCCTTGGGTTGCGTTACCCTATTCCAAATTTCCCTATCTTCAGCTCACCATTCTCTCTTGTGCCTAGTTTTGCGTTGAAGTCTCCCATTAATACCGTATAGTGGGTTTTGGAGGAATGCATGGTTCTAGAGATATCCTCATACATTTCCTCTACCTCCTCATTTGGGTGTGCCGAGGTTGGTGCGTAAACCTGTATGACCTTCAGCGAATACCGTTTGGTGATTCTGAGTATAAGGTACATAACCCTCGTCGAGATACTCCCAATCTTTACAACGTTGTTAACGAGAGACTTGTGGACGATAAATCCGACACCTCCTTGGGACAGACGGTCGCCCTCCCGGTGATAGAAGAAGTTGCCGAATTCGAGGATTACCATGTCCTCCCCCTCTCTTCGGACCTCGGATAATCCTATGATATTCCAGCGCAACTTGTCTATCTCTTCTTCCAGCTCCAGGATCTTCTCGTCAGTCCTCATGGTGCGTGCTTTATAAGTTGCCAGGTCGATTCGTCGTAGGTGGCAACCGAACCTCCATCGGAGATTCGGTTGCCACATCAGGAATAGCGGGGTTGCCGGTGACTGGGGGCCGTCTCTTCGTTACTCCCATTGGGGGGAAGTATATTGCCATAGTTGCCACGCTTGGCGAGTGGGTTGGCAACCGCAGTTTTTTTATTGTTGTATATTATCAGAAAGATGCTGCTGCCCATCCTCTGCCTCAGTTTCCCTCTGTCGCCTCTTACGACAGCCACGGGAAGATATGGGGTAGTGAGTATTCTTTTCCGCCACTACACGGGGTTATTGTTAGGTTTTACGAATAAATAAATAAATAGATTAATAAAAAAATAATTTTCAACAATAGATGGCGCTAAATACGAATGTTGAATTTTTTTTTGGTCACACAACTCAAAACTTAGCCAGAGAGATCAGGCACAGGACCTACGGCTTTACTTGCTTTACTGTCGCGATCGTCACGACTAATATCGTAAACCACTTTTAATACAAACTCTAAGCTAACCTGGAAATATTTGCGGGGACATTAACAATAGAACAGAATAGAATAAAATGGAATAGAATGTTTTTTATTCAATTTAGATTACAAGTAATTCTTATTGAAAGTCGTATTATAATTCATTATGGTTTGGAAAAAACTCCTGTCTTAGGAAAAACCCGCAAGAAATACAGCGGGACTTTTATGTAAAGTATAGTATATAATAATAAAATTGATTTTGTCAAACGTTGATCAAATTTATTTGGGACCCTATGAGAAGCACCAGCTTTCTAATAAAAAAAGAATCATCGAAATCGGCTCACCCAGAAAAAAGTTATGAGGTAACACACATTAAAAAAAACATACAGTCAAATTGAGTACCTCCTTTTTTAAAGACAGCTTGGAAGCGACTACGTCATTTCCATAAGTTACGAGTATTATCAACCATGTATTCATTTCTGTTATAATGACTCTTTTTGTACAATTTTTGTTTATTAAAATATTTAATTAGCAATTTTATGACATTACAACTAGTCATATTTAATATTTATGAAAATAAAATTATAAACTTTTTTTCTGTCCTCCAGCCTCAACCGGCAGTGACGCCAAGGCCTCAGCCACATCACTCATACTTACCCCCCGTTACCAGTTCACCTACAATCGGGCCGCAGCCAGGACCAAGACCCACACCGGGACCTAGACCGAAACCAAGCCCGAGACCGCAGCCTACGCCCCACGATGTGAGTACCCAACTTTATTTTAAAATCTCAAACAAATTCTAAGCTATAACTTGATTGTTTTTAAAAGCTACTTTGCAGGTGAATTATTGTAGTAGCAAGCTCCAAAACTCCGTAATCTCGAAGAATATCAGCATAAAAATGCTGTGTTTCTAATGTTTAGTGATAAGAACTGGATACTAATCAAATCAAACCAAATATATTTATTAGATACAGACTTTAAACAAACATATCATAATAATAATAATTGTTACTTAGTGTTCACTCTTACAGAGAAAATAGCTACGACGAAATAAGTCTTGGGTGAAATTTAAAATTTTTCAATTTTGAAAATGTATATGTATATGTATGTGTAATAAACTGAAAGACATTAAGCCCTAGCATATTTATCTACGAGATAGTCTTTTTTTTTTTCTTATATTTACGCGAACACTACACATTTTTAAATAAAACTAATTTTACGGATTTTATCGCGTATATTAACTTATTTTTATATTCCCGACGTTTCGGGTGCTTTCCAGCACCCGTGGTCACGGGGGACTGAGGTGTTTGACGTCCTGCTGTCATAGTTAGCCCAGCTACCTTCAGTTTTTTAATATTAATTTTTGGTTCGATTTACGCAGAATGAGCTTACAGTATCTTGAAGTCTATCTTCGTATTTTTAAAAATATTTAAAGGTAAGTTTACTTTCTCTTTGGGTATCTTGTTAAAGAAGCGTACACATTTTTCTGCAAAGGAATTACTTACTCTCTTCAGTCTTAAGGAAGGAACCACTAATTTATGCTTATTTCTAGTATTCATTTTATGTATGCCCAATGTAATGTTTATGCATGTTATAAAATTTGTGAATGATGTTTGAATAGATATACTGCGAAGCTATGTACAGTAAATGTGTTAATTTCTTTGAATAATACTGTCAAAGACTCTCGTGAGTTTAAATGGTAAATTGTCCGTATAGCTCTTTTTTGAATGAGCAATACAGATTCAATGATTTGATTTGCCCTACAAAAGTATTCAAAAGTGGACAATAGACTATGAAAATAACTGAAGTAGACCAGTCTTGCAGTATAGATGCTAACTGCCTAATTTTTCTTATAGCGAAAGCCGCTAAACACATTTTTTTAACTAGAGTAATTTTTTTTAAAAAAATGTGTACTGAACAATACCTAATTTGGCGTCGTTTAAAATTATATTATAGTCAACGCTCTTCATATTTGGCAAACAGAACTTTTAGGATTAAGTGCTAAATAATTTTTTGTGAACCAAACTGATATTCGCGCAAGAGTATTGTTTACGTCGTTAAAATTGTGTTTTTTTTAAAAAAAAACAATATAATGTCACATAGTTTATTGACTACATATGAGAGATCATTTAGAAATAAAAATGGCCCTAAGATCAAGCCTTGCGGAACGCCTAATTTTATTTTAGAATGTTGTGACTTAACACCATTGAATATAATATCCGAGTTCGCTAGCTAAGATATGACGCGATTAATTTGAGAGCCATATCCTTAACACCGTAGTGATTTAATTTCAGAAGTAAGGTAGCGTGGTTCTCACAATCGATTGCTTTGGATAAATCGCAAAAAATTTCTATCGCGTTCTATGAATTTTCCCATGAGACGAAGATATGTTAGATAAGTGAAAAACCAGCGTCAGTTATCGATCTGTCTTTTACAAAGCCAAATTGATTTTCATGTAACAGATTGTTAATGTAGAAGTACGTGGTTAGTTGATTTAACATAAATTTTTCAAATATTTTACTGAATATATGTAAAACTGTAACTGGTTTAAAGTTTGATGGGTCCTCTTTATCCCCTGCTTTGAATACATGTTCTATTTTGTCACATTTCATTAAATCTGGGAAAACTCTATATTTTATACATTTATTGAATATAAAAGTACAACAACAGGGGCAACATCTTTAATAACAGAACTAAATATTTTCACTGAAACGCCCCATTAGTTCTCAGTTTTCGTCATATTTAAAGATTTAAAAAAAATATTATAATTTTGTCGTGTATGGGATTGATCCCAAATTTCTGAGTAGAATAGAATAGAATAGAATAGAATAATTTTTATTCAATATTGATTATTACATAATTCTTATTGAAAGTCATTTTTTATTTACCACTGGTTCGGAAAATACCTCTGTCCTGGGAAGAACCAGCAAGAAACCCAGCGGGACTTTTTTTTTCAAACATATTTCACTTAACAATAATTTCGTTTTATACAATTTTTAAATGATTTTTCATAGAATCAGCATGGTGGGTATCACCTTATTCCCAGGGGTTATTTTCATTCATGTATTCCTTGATATTATAATAACCATTTTTGTACAGTTTTTCTTGAATAAAACTTTTAAACTTGTTTATTGACAAACTTTGAATATGTTCTAGGATTTTGTTGTAAAAGCGTATACATTGCCCCATACTTTTTGCTTTGCGGTACTTGTACGTGTTGTACGTGTATGGTATCTGAGCATGATGATTATAGCAACTTTGTTGTAGCGTTTGAAATATTAGTAAAGAAATGACTAAATGCAAAGTTCGATAAAGTAATTAAGCAACAATCGATCTTCAAACAGTACTTTTTTTCTTTTAGTTTTGTTTTACCGGTGATACTCATTTTACTAGTAATGAGGCATACCATCAGATTCCTAAAGTGTGACAACTCATTTTAATTCTTAATCGAGAATAGATGTATCTATATTGGCAAATACATTTTTTATAGAATAAGGGTAACAAACGAACACAATAAAAAATGGTAAGTGGATGATGTGACCCATAGACATCTACATCTGTCCTCAATTAAAAATCAAAATGTAGATGCGTTGTTACCTCTGAGGACTAAGACCACCTTATGGTACGCGGCCATGTTTAGACCTGTTTTTTTTTTAATAAATAATAACAAGTAGTAAAATTACAAATTTTATACAACCGACTTCAATATAAATAAAATGAAGAACATCAATGTAATCGAAGTCAATTAAATACGTATTAAGGATAACTCAAAAACTACTGGTCAGATCTTTGATCAAATCTATATGGGATATTTCTTATTTCACTAGCTTTCAAATAAAAAAAGAATCATCAAAATCGGTTCACCTAGTATAGCTCTGAGGCAACACGGATAAAAATACTGTGGAATTGAGAACCTCCTCCTTTTTTTTGAATTTGGTTGTAAAACTGAATTGAAACGAACTTTCGATCCACCTGATGGTAAGTGGATACTGCATTCCAAGGACACATGTAACCAATTTCAAATAAGGAAAGTTACAGATGCACATGTCTAAGGTAAACATGTGTCATTCATTTATTTCTAGTGACCCGATCAATCAAGTATTGATTTGACTTACGAACCAGATCATCAGAGTTAATCATTCAAATAGATCATTTTGACTTTCAGTACTCTGTGATTTGTGAGACCCGTTCGATAATGTCGGTCGTTGGACATTACTACACTCTTTAGTCTTAGATCTTGTCAATAGTTTATCCGGAACGTTCAAAAAATGTAAGTGCAATTATACTTTGATGCAACCCGGGTCAAATGAACGAATCATTCACGATTGACACATATCTAGGTACTCTAAAGACTAAGATGCTTACAGCATTTTAAACCGAAGCACATCTGTGTAAGTACTGCTATCTGGCGGGAGAAGTAGGTAATAGCGTTCCCAGACGGACTAGAACTAGTAGAAAAGGGAGTTCCATCACTCAGTATCTTTTTTTATAGGATAGGGTGACAAACGAGCACACAGTCCACCTGATGATAAGTGGTAGCTGTAGCCCATAGACATCTACATCTATCCTCGTTTGTGAATCAAAATGCAGATGCATTGTCACCCGTGAGGACTAATGTGGAATGCCTCTTTTCCAGTAAAAAGGGCCTCCGGCCACCTGCAGTCACCGAGCGAAACGCAGAGGTAAACCTCTACTTCACGCTGGTATTCTGTGAGGTCGTGGTACCACCCCGGTTTGAGCCGGCCCATCCGTGCGACAGCAAAAGCTGTCGCGTGGCTCTACCACTGTCAAAACTCTCAAGAGTGTCGACTTAAAGAAATCCTTGGAAGATCTTTTAGGCTCCGATGGCGATATAACTACAACTATTTCTTTAGCCCTTTTACGTCTGGTAATAATATAATAATCTGAGGTCTAATTGAATGCCTCGCAGCCTGTAGTTATACTGACTATATACCTCACATCGGAACACATCAGTGCAAGCAGTGCTAATTGTCGGCAGAAATACGTAACAGTGTAGGCACTCAGAATAAGCGTATTGTCTTTAAAGCGAGAAGCGAGTTTAAAGCGAGATTGTTGTTCAAGGGAAAACTTCTTTAGTCACGTTGAGCGATTTTTGGTAGGGGAAAAACTTATGCGTTCGCGTCACCGATGACCTCGACATGCACGTCACGAACATGTCAACGCTCTGACGCTAGTTTGGCTTACGCCAGCTAGCGACGCGTAGTATCGCGGCCTGTGTATCATCATATATCATTGAGTTTGTACTTCTGTCGGCAGTCCTTATAACTGCCTGTGTTTTGTTTTTTAATTGCAGCATGCCCTTACCGTCGCGGCAGTTCACTCTAGTTCTCAAAGTTATTGCGTGGCGCTGGCGTCGATTATCTTGAGTTGACTATGGAAAATTAGGGAAATCAATGGGATAAGGATTTATAAAAGCTTTTAGAAAAATTTACTTCGCAAATATCCGCGTTATAAAATAAAATGATGTGTCTTACCTAGTATGAAGAGCACCTCCCACCCACCCTCAATTGCGTGCACTATTATTGCGTGCGAGGGCGGGAGGTGCTCTTCATACTAGGTAAGACACATAATTTTATTTTATAACGTGGATATTTGCGAAGTAAATTTTTCTAAAAGCTTTTATATAATGGATTTCCGCAAAGTAACGCTTGATTCTATTAATTATAAGGATTTATGAAAATATATACTTTGGATTAGGATATTGCAATTAAGAATATATGTACGATTTGAGTATTAAAGC